TGTCGCATGCCTCTTCATGGTTACTTTATGTTTTAGGATAGTCTCTCCATCTCATTGCCTTCTTTAATTTTCAAAATCTTCTCCCTATTTCAAAACTTCTTGTTTTCAAGCTCAATACCTTTTCTTAAACAAACCTTGACTTTGTCGAGTGATCCATAAAAACTTTTTCTTAATAAATACTAAAATACTTAAGCATATTCAAACTTTTTTCAAAAACTCCTAAAAAAAACAAACCTCATCAAACTTTTTTTTGTGCCTTAGTGCATTTTTCTTTTTAAATCATACTTTTTCCAAAAGAAAGGATATGAGTCTATTCTCGAAATGATGCAAATTTCTATACTTCTACAATATGTTGTGAAATTGGTTGACATTTCCACTTGAATGTTGAGATGCTTGTTAAGTTAATCCAAGTAAAAAATTTCATATCAAGATGATGCAAATGCTCATTTCCTCATTTCCTCATACTTGTGGGCAGTAAATTGAGTTTTCCACTCGAATACGGCGAAATGTCTTTTTACCTATAATCAAACAACAAACTAAATCACTTTTATAAAAAAATGCAAGTGGTTCCTATGAAGTATCATAGATGTGAAGGGTGTTAATACATTCCCCTTGTATAATCAATATCGGTACCCAAATCTCTCTTTTGTTTGGTTTTTAAAACTTTTTGTCGGTTTTTTTCTGACCTTTTCCCTTTGGAAACAATAAAGTTCGGCGGCGACTCTTATTTTTTATGAGTTAAGTTAATCAATAGCTTAATCTTAATTTTCCCGCCGCGATAACATCTCCATAATGTTCCCTGGTACATGATACAAATTATAGGTTTCATATTGGGCTAGAACTTGTATAAATATGAACTCACATTTCATTTTTTTACACCATTACATTACATCAGAATGAACATCAATTGAAATACATGATATGTCTACTTCAACGCAACAGAACCATCGATTGCATCCAAGTTCACTTAGTATACGCCTCTTGATAATCTGAAATTCATACTAGAAGAACTCATACCATACAACAACAGTCAAAAATTTGTGAAGCTTGAGTACCGTTCACCCTCAGCTGACAACGAAGGGAACAGTAAGTTCAACAACTCCGAGCTCAAGACGGCTGCAGATGTAAGAGCTACATGGAATACATTTTTCTGTTACGAAAACAAATTTTTGATCGAGCTGGATATCGAGATCTGACAAAGATATTATTAGGATGTTGAAACGTCTACATCGATGCTGATATGTTTCATATATGTAATGTTTGATTATTTATGTAATGTTTTATATTTTAAGTTATCAATTTTAATTTTAACTTTAATATGCATCAATATGCATATGTGTTCTTGAATATGTATTTTAGTATACTCCAAAGATGCATCTCCAAAATAAAGACAACTTGTCATTTGGGGTATTGTAAAAAACAAATGTGATTCATGTTTTTGGATGTCTACGGAGATACATCTCTGAAATATTTAAGATTTTTTTACTAGAGTGTGATAGCAATTCATAGGGTGCCATTAGCAATCCCCAAGGAACCTCTGATTGCCCACCAACAATAAGAACTTATGTTTTAAACATCAGACCAATCATCAAATCGGTGAGGGTATCAGGTCACTAGTTCATTGGTCGAACCACTCAGTCACTGGTCGAACTACATGACTAAATCAGATTAAACCAGATAACTCAATTGAATAAATCGGTCTCTATAATAAAACCATATAGTTATTAAACCGGTCGAATCAAATGATTCAATATCAAAAAATAGCACGACACCTACAAAATTTTAAAATATCATAATTTCACAAATTCATTCTTTAAATTCAAGTTCAACAAATATTCACACAACAAAATAGTACAAAGTATAAATTCAAATAGTTTTGAATAAAGTCTAATTGCAACATAAACCGACTAACAAAATAATTTGTCTAATAAATTTAATTTCAAGGAGGAAAAATTGTGCCAAATAAATTTTTGAACAAATTTTACTTATATTTAATTTTTTATTTATTTTAAAAATCATCAAATTAACGTCGTTTTGTCTTTAGAAAAAAACAACTATTTAAATAGTTGATTCTTTAATTTTTATTGATTTTGATCGATTATAACCAGTTTAATAACTATATCCAATCTAACAATTAAACTAAACTAATGATCCCTTCCTCGATTCAACTAATTTAATAAACCGATTCAATCTAATTTTTAAAAGACTTTCGTTTTTAAAACACTTCTTTGAAGTTATTTTGGGATAACAACTTTGAAGTTAAAAGTTTGTTTTATACAATGAGCGATTTTGTATTTCGGATTGAGAAAATTTGAAAATTTTGAGTTCACAAGCTTAGAATAGAAATACCAATCGCATAATAATGTGTGGTTAAGTGCAGACGAAAAAACGATACAAAAAGAAACATATAAATAGTAGCTATTGGTAAATATATAACCACTTGGCAATAACCAAGCCATTGAGTTTAGCACTTTTTTTGTTTTATTTTTCTTCCTCCATAATTTAAAAACAAGTTGCAGATGGATAAGCTTTAGAAATTTTCACTTTATATATTTGATTGAATTGAAAGTGGTAAATTAATAATATAAAGTAGGTTATATAAAAATAATAAAAATGATCGTGAATAACAAGAATTATAATGCAATATCGACCCTACAGTTGCAGTTCCGGCCCTTGATGTCCCCAATTCTCGTCCTACATATTGCTGCGTCAGCTACTATCTATTCGCCACATATTTATCCATAACATTAATATTTTTATTCAATTCAAATCATTCTTACTATATCACATCATTAATATATATTGATATTCATAATTTATATATATTTGAAAAATATATATATATATATATATATCGTCTTTCAAATTTAAGTTTAGAATTTTATAATTATTTATGTTAATTTTTCTAGTGATTGATATTTTATGTATTCAAAGAAAGTTAAATTTTTTTATTTAAATTTAAATATTTTTATCCTTCTTTTCATATTCTTAACTACATTGAGTTCTTCTATCTCAACTCATTCCTAAAAATTAATCTCCTTATTTAGATTTTAATATTTTTAGTCTTCTTCTCATATTTTTACTTTTATTATTGATGTATTATATTTTAAAAAAATATTTTAATGATGTGTCACTTATATTATTAATATGTCATATTTAAAAAAAAAATATTTTATGAAAAAATAAAATAAAATAAATAAATACATCAATTTTAATTTTAAAAATATGAAAAATACATAATTATTTAAATTTAAATAAAAAATTAATTGTATGAGCGAGACAAAATATTAAACTAAAATTACAATAATACACATTTGAAGATTTTAGTAATAATAATATTAAATAGATAAAAAGAAAAACTACATTAAAAAAAATTTATTGATAAGAAAGTGTGAAAATAAGAAAGGAAAGAATTAAATCTTAACCCTTCATTATTATCATTATCTATAATTTTTATTAAAAAATTTAATTTAAAATTATCCTCTAAAACAATGATAGATATAAATTTTTGTTTTTTATTCAAATAATTCTTACTATATAGTATTATTCAATAAAAATTTATTGAAAAGTTTTGTAAGAAAATAAAATAAAATATTATTATATCCGGTTCCTTTTTATCTAATTTTTCCTTTTTAAATTAGATATTATTTTTAATATAAATATATTTTTCAAATAATATATCATTTAATATAAAATATTAATTATTTTTTTAATAATTCTTATCTTCTATTCCTTTAATTTCATAATTTTGTTAATTTATTTTTTCATATTATTAAAAAAACACTTATATATAACAATTTATAATTTTTTTCTTCAAATAATAATGATTCTATTTCAGATGACATATTTTAAGTTTTTACTTTATAGCTTACAGTTTAAATTTATAAGTTTGTGTGGGAATAAAAAAATAGTTTAATAATAGTTTTTTCATTACAAATTTATAATTTATTTATTGATGTCATTTGAAATAGTATTTTAACGTATAATTTATAATTTATTATTTTTTTCTTTCTATTTTTATCTTTAATAATTTAATTAAAATTTATTTTAATCTTTTATAATTTATTTTAATTTAAAATAAAATGATTATATATTAAATATAAATAATTATATTATTTTATATTTATCAATTAATTAAACTGTTAATATTATTAAACACTTTAATTAATTTAGATGGCATATCAACTATTAGACCTAAGTTATAAGTAATTAACTATTAAACTTAAAATATAAGTCATCACTTAATTTATCAATCACGTGTTATTTTTATCAAATAAGTTCAATATGCAATGGAAAAGAAACATATAATTTAAAACCAATGAATAATATTTTAAAACTCTTATCAATATGAAAAAATTAATAAATTTACTATTATTGGTAAGACTTATTTTTTTGAATAATATATTGAATGTTTCCCATTACATTTCATTTATTTTTCTATAATAAATAATTAAATAATAATAACAAAAATAAACTATATAATTTAATTCGAAAGTCAGTTTTGATATTAAATGATTCAACTTTTTTCTGATTACAATGGTAGAAAATTGAACTACAATTTTTTTTATCAAATCCAACGTCAAGATAATGTAAATAAAAATAAAAAATTCTTTGATTTACTTTGTTTCTCTTGGAAGTGATGTGTTTATTGTTCTTCTTCCTCTGCCATTCATCACTCTAACATAAAACTCTGTCCAAAACCGAAACCACCGCTTCCCTCTTTTATCCTTTCCCAACCTTATCCAAATTTTTCTTCCACCTTCACTTCTTCTTCCACCGACCAACCAAAGAAACATCAAAATGAAACTAATCTTGAACCTAAATATTCGATCTTCATCGCTTTTCTCTATTCAAATATAGATTCTTTTACACTTATCAATCGACCCCTTTCAATCCCATTTTCATAACAATCTCTTCATTTTCTCTATTTTGCGAATTCCCTTTCTTGTTTCTTACAATTGTGAAAAAGACCGCGCCTTTTTTCAAAGGGTTGATCAGAAATGGTGTCAGCTAACGACCCAGTTGAGTCTTTCTTCAATTCCATTCAAGTCATGAAGGAATCGCTGTCACCACTCGAACTGGGTTTCCGAAAGGCGGCCAAAGATTTTGAACATTGTTTTGCAGGTAGGCATGGTGTTTGTTTAATTGCCCAAGTGAGAAATGGTGGCGAGTTTCAGATCTGTGATGCCAAGAAGAAAAAAGGGTTGTCTATGAAGGTTCCTTTGAAGGCTTTTTTGGGTATTTTTTCACAGGATTCAAGGAATGTAAATAAAACTCAAGTTGTTAAGGAAAATGAGTCTTCTTGTGCCAATTGTTTGCAGTTTTCTGTGACTTGGTCATTGTTGGTTAATGGGTTTATTCAGTCTTTGCCTATTCCTTTTAAAAATGGGAAGAAGAGGTTTCAGAAAGTGTGTGATGAGGATAGTAATAAGGATAAGTATTCATGCATTAAGCAAAGTTTTTCATCATGTGAAGTGAAGCATAATGAGTCTAAGGGTCAATTTGTTGGGACAGTTAAGGAAGAGGTTGTGAAGAGGAAAGATGAAAAACATGTTTCACTTGAATGTCTTATAGGTTTTATCTTCGATCAGCTATCTCATACAATTCAGAGTCTTGAACATGGAATAAATGGAATGCAAGAGAAAAATGAAGTTGAGTGTGGAAAAACTTTGTTGCATTCACCTCCTTTTGATCATGTGAATGCATTTGCTAGCTTCTTGGAAGGGCACAAGGTGAATGTGAATGGTTTCTTAGGGAATTTGAATTTTGCAAAGGTGGGTGGTGTGCCAACAAGTGCAGCTGGAGAAGAAATTGCTTCACAAAATGAAATGGGAGATGTCAGTAATGATGAAAATAAGGAAGAAAGTGTGGGGATTTCGGCGCAGAAGGTTGCCTCGAACATATTCAGCATTCCTTTAACAAATGTAGAGCGTCTAAAGACTACACTTTCCACTGTTTCATTGACAGAATTGATTGAACTGCTACCGCAGCTTGGGAAAACATCGAAAGACCATCCTGATAAGAAGAAGCTATTCTCTGTACAAGATTTCTTTAGATACACAGAGTCGGAAGGTTTGACATCTTACATATGATAGCAATAAAGTTTTTAATTTTTGCTTGCAACTTGGGTTATTGTTTAGTATAACATAGAACTCTGCGATTATGGTAGAATATTATTATTTAAAATTGTGGATAGGAATAGGATAAAATATGTAGGTATGTATGGATGTGGAACTGTTATATAGTACGAAGCTGAATGCTGGGTAGTAAAGTTTCAATCAGAAAATAAGATTAGTGATGGAGAGATGATAGTTTCTATGATAGGTTAGTGGAAATACAAGCAAAGATAAAGTTAGGAATGAAACCTATTGTACAACAAGGTGATATAATCTCATATTCTTTGGTGGTATGGAGTTTGGACATGTGTCGAGAAGACTACAAAAGCACCGGTAAGAAACAGAAGATTGGCTACGGAATAGTTAATCGCTAGTTAACTATACCGGGAAATCAGGAAAAACTATAAGTCAAATTATTGAGAAAGATTTGGAGTTAAATGGTCCATCATTAGATATAATTCATGATAGGATATTATGGCATTATTTGATCGACATGGCCAACTCTCTATAGTGAGAAGAAACTTCATTGTCGTTTTCAGAAGTTCAACAAGATGCCCAATAGGTTACGATATTTTCGAATACCAATCCAATGAGTCAGGCTGGAATCTGTCTCAGCAAATACAAAAGAGCATGTGCACATTTTATAGTTTTAAAAGGATCTAATGTATGAGTGTGATCCATATGATGATATTGAGTATTAGCTAATAATTGATGTTATTTATTGGGACTTAAAAAATAATGAGTTAATATAAATTAGGTTAGTTTAATGAATCTTTTTAATTCAGGGTTCTAATGCCTGAGAACATAATATTGTTTTGTAGAATGTGGTTCGGAAATGTCAATGAGCAAATATGGAAGTTGATGTAGGACTCGAGTTTTTGTGTCTTCTTTATTGCATCTTTTCACATATCATATTTCCGTATCTATGATAATGGCATGCTAACCATGAGCCTGTAATTTTTACAAGATGGTAATGTGGAGATGTGTAAGTAATGGGTAGATTAGTAGTAGCTGAAGAGAACCAATTTTGCTTGTTTTGTTACTTTACTATCTGTTGTGTATATTATTAACCTCTATAAATATATCTTGATTTTGTATCATTGAAAATATTCATAAAAGGTGGCTCATTCCTATGAAAAGACATAAATGAGATCAAAATAAATAGAGAAAATAATAAACACAAGAAAAAAGAAGTGGAATTTTTTTTCCAGAATGTATATGGAATAGGTTTCTTCATGGCTTAATACTAAATCATCAAATGACTCCACGGTCCATACTAATGTTTTCGTTGGTCTTGACAGTTTTCAGACAGATTCTTGATGTTTAAAGTGTGATTTTTTGTGTTTTAGCTAGAAGACATTTCAAGTAGAAAAAGAACAAAGGAAACAAAAGAAAACATATTATTACAATTATTGTTTTATGGATTAGTGTCTTGGAATTATGGCACCCAATCTCTACATGATCAAATTTGCAATTAGTAATTAGCAATCATTTCGGACTATTCAACCAAAAAATATTTAATATTTTTCATGCGATATTTGCAATTAGTATTACAGTTTTAATCTTTTAGCCTTTTTGCATCCTGGTCTCTTCCTACCTACTCGGAATTTATGTTATACTTGATATTAGTTGTAAGGTATATTTTTGCAGATCTGTTTCTGATTCTCCGTTTATTTGTTGTGTATATTTTTATATGCTTTCTGGAATGACATGTTGACACTTCTTTTTCATTTGCATTATCATCATACAGGGAGGAGGTTCTTTGAGGAGTTGGATAGAGATGGTGATGGCCAGGTAACTTTAGAAGATCTAGAAATTGCAATGAGAAGGAGAAAGCTTCCACGAAGATACGCTAAAGAATTCATGAGCCGTACCAGAACTCACTTATTTTCTAGGTCTTTTGGTTGGAAGCAATTCTTATCATTCATTGAACAAAAGGAGCCAACAATTCTTCGTGCATACACTTCTTTGTGTTTAACCAAGTCAGGGACGTTGAAGAAAAGTGAAATATTGGAGTCACTTAAGAATTCAGGACTGCCTGCAAACGAAGACAATGCTGTTGCGATGATGCGATTTCTAAATGCAGACACAGAAGAATCTATTTCGTATGGGCATTTCCGTAATTTCATGCTTCTGCTTCCCTCAGATCGTCTTCAAGAGGATCCTAGGTAAGACTAAGAGGAATGTTATCATGTGATTGGTTTTCTTTCTTTGACATCCTTGTTTTGATCACGGGATTGTTTTTCCGTCAGATCATGTTCAATACAAATGAAATTATTGAACATGATTATATTATGAAGAAGTGTTACTGTCAGTACTTCAATTAATTTCCATATCGGCTCAACTTCCACCACCAGCAATGATTAAGATTCAGATTCATCCTTCATTGTGATATTGATAACTGTTCTTGTTTTGATTAAACATTCAGGAGTATTTGGTTTGAAGCTGCAACTGTAGTTGCTGTTCCACCATCCGTCGAAATTCCTGCTGGAAGTGTTCTAAGATCTGCATTGGCAGGTGGCCTTTCTTGTGCTCTGTCTTGTGCATTATTGCATCCTGTTGATTCAATCAAGGTATTATTTAGTTGAACTTAATGATTTCTGTAGTTACCAATATCATGATTTCTTCCTCATCATTCTCCTATTTATTGTGTTATGTTAGACTCGAGTACAAGCATCAACCATGTCTTTCCCTGAAATAATTGCGAAGTTGCCAGAGATCGGGACACGTGGTTTATACAGGGGTTCAATACCTGCAATTCTTGGACAGTTTTCAAGGTTGCTTATTAAATCTCTCTCTTTCTTCTCTGCTACTTTCCGTTATCTTGAGAATACGAGCTTCAGTAGTACTTTATCCTCTCAATCATTGAGTAGTACCATTTTCCTTTCAATCTCATTCTAGCTTTTGTAAATGTAGCCACGGCCTGCGAACTGGGATATTTGAAGCAAGTAAATTGTTGTTGATAAATGTTGCTCCAAACTTGCATGAACTCCAGGTAATTTGTACATCCTATTTCCTATTATATATATTTTAGGCCAAAATTTGGACCAAATATGTCGTTATAGAAAGATGGAGAGTATGTCACATTCTCTATTATTTATATTTTAGTCCAAGTACATCCTTTTGTTCCATACTTTGGGGTTTTCTGCATTATATAATTATTAGGTATTAGTTGAAGTTGTTGCTTTATTGAGAAAGTGGTTGAAACTTGACAATATAACCAAACTACTGAATCGTAATTAGATCTAAAAGTTGTTACATTATTTCTGAGCTCTTCAGTTTATGTCAAGTTTGGTAATTACCTACTTTTTCGACTTACCATAAATAGAAGCACGGAACACTGTTGTAACTGACTAATTCTCTTGACAGAATCGCTTAGCTCCTTGTCTTTGTGAAAAGGGTTTTAACATGTGCTCTTGTAATTAAGGATGAATTAAAATGAAGAGTAATATGGATATTACTATATAATATCCATATTAAAATGATGCAAAAGCTTTCAATGGAGATGCTTATACTTCATAGTATAACATTTTTTGAACATAAATTTACATTTATTAACACTTGGAAATTTACTTCTTTCACTCGTAAAAATATCCATTGTATACACATTGTGTGAATATCCGTGGTTGTATAGTTAAGATTTACTCTTTCACTCGTAAAAATATCTTCTCACTAGATACATCATTGGTGTCTGGTTTGTCAGTGCTTTTCTAAAGTCTTTAAGCCTCACAGATTAGTGTCTTTAAGCCTCACAGATTAGTATCTTTGTAGGTACAATCTATAGCATCTTTCTGCAGCACGTTTCTGGGCACAGCTGTGCGAATCCCCTGCGAGGTGTTAAAGCAGAGATTGCAGGCTGGTATTTTCAACAATGTGGGCGAGGCTTTGGTTGGGACTTGGCAGCAAGACGGTCTTAAAGGTTTTTTTCGTGGAACCGGAGCCACACTTTGTCGAGAAGTTCCATTTTATGTTGCTGGCATGGGACTTTACGCCGAATCTAAAAAGGTGCATAAATTTTGTGATCCCCTGTGCCTCTTGGTTTTGGATTTCTTTATAGAATTTGAGTCAAGCATTACAAATTCTTTGAAACTCATTCATCAATCTCTAAAATTTTCATTGCATTTTTCCTCATGGAATGCTCCAGGGTGTCCAAAAACTACTAGGACGGGAACTCGAGGCCTGGGAAACAATTGCAGTTGGAGCTTTATCTGGTGGCTTGGCAGCAGTTGTTACAACTCCATTTGATGTGATGAAAACTAGAATGATGACCGCCCAGGGTCAGTCTGTGTCAATGTCCATAGTAGCCATCACTATACTCCGCCATGAAGGACCCCTTGGTTTGTTCAAAGGAGCAGTTCCTAGGTTCTTTTGGATTGCTCCTTTAGGTGCCATGAACTTTGCAGGTTATGAGTTAGCAAGGAAAGCCATGAATAAAAATGAAGAGGCTAAGACTGGAAATGTGGAGTAATGTGTCACACACAGTCTCATGGAATTTTTGAGTGAGGCCGTTGATGCTGGCTTCTCTGAAATACACATTTTGTTTCCTTTTGTTCATTTTATACTTTCTGAGTCTGCCATTTGTAGCAGCAGGTTTTCTCTTTTGAAAGAAAAATATTCATGTTCTACTTTGCAAACCAAAAAGGTTCAATTTATTTTCTTCATCTGATGTACATATATTTTATTAATCTTCTGTATTTTTCAGCCTTCACCATTTTGTTTCTTGGTTCATTTAATTGTGATTTCATTGAGTTTATTTGAAGTCTGCTTTTGTTTGTTTGTTATAGGGCAGTGTCATTTACAATCAAGTTATTATTATATACAATACACGGTGATTAGACAATTTCTATTGCAAACACATGACCAATGAAATCTTTTCTTGAATCATTTTAACCTTCTTTGTGATCTGCAGAACCACTTCCGAATCTAGCACAAGATTATCCATTTTCAAACCAGGACAAGTGAGTCATACATCTTATATTATACAGTATAAGGTTTCATAAAGAGTCACCTTAATACTAGAGTGAAAACTGTTGCTATAAGTAATATTTGAGTGAAAACAAAGTCCAACACAACCTCACCCTTTCAATGATATACAACTCAACCGACTTATCCATATAACACATGATATTTATCAAACTGAAATGAGCAAACTTTGTGCTATCAACTGCCACAAATCATATCGAATGCTTTCGAAGTACAAGGTACATTTACCACAAATTTCATACAAATGATGTCCCACTTCCATTCAAATTGCTTAGATGCATAAGCCATTGTTTTTCCGTTGGGTAATTCCTCTCGCAAGTCTTAAGTTTCCTGGATGCATATGTCACTTCATTTGTGTTTTGCATAAGCACGCCACATTCTCGAACTGGTTACATCACAACGCACTACCAAATACTCACTTGGGCCAAATAAAATTAAGATATGTCTTTAATTTTTGAGAATTTCTTTCTCCACCTGTTTTTTTTAAAACCTTAGTTGAAATTTCAAAAATGTTCCTATTTTTGAATATACTTCTCTAAATGGATTTTTATTCTACAAAATTTATGAAAAAGATATTTTCAGATATACATATCTGAATAATTTTTTTTTATGAAAAAAATAGTTTTAGATATGCATTTCCGAATTTTATTCTGTTATAAAAATTTAAAAATATAACTAAAAATCAAATTAAATTAAATTAAGTGTCTATAATTTTTTTTTTTTTTGGATTTTTTCGAAAATATGAAAAACAGAAAATAAATCAAATAAAATAGAAAAATAAGGAATTTAGGGTTTTTAGGGTGGGGTCCCTTATTTTGTCCTAAAATAGGGAATTTTGATCCCTGATTTTTTTCGAATAAATTGACACGGTAAAATTTTAATTCATAGTCAATTTTTCATTAAATTGAATTTTTTACGTTAGGTCGTGTAAAAGCCAAGAGACGCAGGAACGTAAGGGCTAGAACACCGAAATTATTTTGTTACATTTTATTTTGTTATAAAATAAATCAATTAATACAATTGATACACCTTGATTCTAATTGATACAAATATTAAAATACTTTGAATATGCATATCCGAAAACCCCTCGAATATTCATATCTGAAAACTCTGAAACTAAATATGAGGTGCGTTCGGATATACACATCTGAATGGTATTTTTGGAGATTTAACTCAACATATAGAAGTGGACAAAGAAATTCTCTAATTTTAAGATGAAAAAAAGCATCTCAGACTCAATTGAAAAATATTTTGTCTTTTAAATAACTGCGTTTTTATATATTTCTAAACGAATAAGATTCGCTAGAAAAAGAGATAATTAGTTAACTTAGAACACAATAATGCGTCAAGAAAGTGAACATTACTACTAATTTTTGTTTCATATAAACTTTTTGTTATAATCTGAATCAAACTTGTATGAGTGAAGTCATAAGCATAAATAATTTATTTTAGAGTATTCTTTATAATTATTTGAAAACCACTTTTTACAAAAGCAAGTAACTAAGAGTCCATGGAAAACCATGGATGAAAAGGGTGCTAATACCTTCCCTTTTCATAATCTACCCCCAAAATTCAAGAAACAATCTCAAAGGTCTTTTATGTGCTTTTTTACCTTTTTTTTTTGATAAAAGAAAAGTCGGTGGCGACTCTTGCTAACCGCAACATTTGCGATCAAACGCAAAAAACCTCAAGTAAGTTACCCCACCGTATCACAATGTCCATGACCTTGAAAAAGACTCATAAACTCACCCTTACCTTGTCTTGTATTTTCTTATTATTTTATTTATATTTATTTTGTTTTTATTCAAATAAATGCAAACTAAATTAAATAAAATCATAAAAATCACGGACTATGCATATGGGTTGGATTTGATCCACTTTGGAGCCCATTAATTCGTGCAAGTTACATCACAAATGTCCAGGTTCATGTAGCATCAAGAAAGGACAAGAATCACTCATTTTTGGCAAGCTTTGAATGTGTTTTATTCTTGTCTCAAAGGCCATCATGGCTTGGTTTTCCTTCCATATTTATCTACTCCTCTCTTCCCTCTATATAAATCCCTCCAAGGCAGGCCAAAGGTAGCACAAAATTCCTCTTCAAAAAATTCTTCAAAAGCTCTTCACAAAGCTCTACCAAATTCTCAAAAAATTTTCAAAATTGCCAAAATTCGCAACGGCTTTTCGAGGCACAATCAATCCAAACCAATGATCAAACCTTACTCCTGAGATCCCCAGGAGCCTCCCCATATCCAAGAATACGTCCAACCATGCTTAGAAGGTCATTCACGAACTCACCAGTGGTAAAAATTTTGTTCATTTTTGTATAATCTGTGACAGGTCTATTTAACACTTTTTGTGATACAGTTGCATTCATATTAGAGAACAAGACATGAACAAGTGATCGCGTGATGTTTTTGATGTTAGAATCACGCTCATCATGCGCTCTCACATCAACATCATCAGATTCAGATCCAACAATCCAGATCTGAGCACCCACGATAGGCTTCATGGGAGAGATGCACAAGACCCTGAAGATTTTTCCTCCAGCGCATGGGCCAATTGATTTCTGATTCTCACACCCCCTAATTACTTGTTTTGCAGCTTGGCCCAATTTAATTTTTTTGTCTTTTTCTTTTATTATTTGTTTTCTTTTACTTCAATTATTTCTTCTTTATAACAAAAATAAATAAAAAAATCATAAAATCATAAAAATCACAAAAAATTATTAGACTTAGATTTTTATTAATTAAAATTAATTTAATTAATTATTTAACCATCTTTTTAATTAATTAAATTAATTAGAATTAGGTTTTCTTTAATTTAATTTAATTTTATCATTTTTCCTAAAACAAAAATAACAAAAACATTTTTTTTATCACTGAGATTTTATAGGTTTTCTTTACATCTTTCTCTTTTCTTCTTTGCACGTTCATCTTATTTTATTCGCATCATTTTTTACAATTATGTAATTGTACATGGAATATAATAGACTTTAACTAGGATCTTTTACTTTTTAATTCCCTTTTTTTGGTTTGTAATTTCCCTCCATCCCGAAGCCTTGTAATAGCGAAGATTCCAATTTCCGCATTTTATTTTCCGTACTTATAGATGTATGCTAATAGACTTGTATGGAAAGACTTAAAAATAAAAGTTAACAAAACCTAACACTCAAGATAAACATAACTGAAGCACAATACACTTGCACACACACACCTCTAAGGTACTTCCACTTGTTGCCTTCGGAAAAACAGTCATGTCCCTCGAACGTGGGACACTTTAGCAAAGACCCTCGGTTAAAAAGATCGTAGTCCCTCGATGACCATTCGATGCTGCCTTCAGTATATGGTCTAGTCCCTTACGATAAAATTGCTAAGGTTCCCTACGAGGTTCCTTTATGATTGTCCCTCAAAAAATCCAACGATAGGGCTACCTACTGACTAAAAATAGGATAGCACTATCTAAAGGAAATGAGGAAAAGAACAAAAATCTTTCGAGTAGGTAGATAGCTCATAGTTGCTTGCTCATAAAAACAAACAAAACAATTTTTGCACGCATACATAAACTCTTTTCTAAATATTTTTAAACACAAAAACACTTTGTATACGTTTTCACCGAAACGAGAAACATTACAAAGTTCGCGGCACTAAGGCGTCTTCTCAAAATATCTTCAAAATACACTTACACAAAAAAGGCATTTTTAAAATGAGCTAGCAACTAAGAGCCTGTAGATAACTACGGATGGAAAGGGTGCTAACATCTTCCCTTTCCATAAACTATCCCCTTACTCAGAAAATAATCTCGAAAGGTCTTTCCTGTTCTTTTCACCCTTTCCTTTGTTGGATAAAATAAAAGTCAGTGGCAACTCTTGCTAACCGCAACAATTGCGATAAAACACAGAAACCAGTAAAGTCAGTTCTACCACCGTATTACAACTTCATCTAGAAATTTGAACAAGTCTTTTATTCCCTATGGAAGAATCTTGTCAGAAGTGTTTGTTCAAGGAGAGATTATAAGAATCATTTATAGGATTCGTGCTGGTCCTAGTGATGCTTTGAAAGAAGAGGTGTGTGAAACCTTTGATGATCAGTGGTTCGATTAAGTATTAATTTTGTTATGTCTTTCTGATATTTTTCATGTTGTCTTTTGATTATTGTATGTTGTTCGATTTATCGATCCTATGTACTTTGTAACCTTACAAAATCAAGTTTCTTGCTTTATTTAGTCAGATGTGCCTTACTTTTTTTTCAATTAAACATTTCTTATATATTTTTGATTATGACAAAATGGGGGAGAAAGAATAATGAGTTTGATAAGAACATTTCTAAAGAAACATTGCATTCACTATAATAAATCAAGTTCTGATAAAGAAAGATCATTGTTTCTAATGTCTAAGAAGTATGGGTAATCTGATAAGCTTAAAAGATAAATCAATAATGATAGATCATATTCAGATAGGATAACATTGTTCCTAAGCTCTAAAAGATC